AATCTATAATAGAAAGATCCCCTGGACGCTCGGAGCCAAAGAGGAAGCAGCAAAACGAATATAAGGGAGGGAAGGAATCACTCCCGATTTCGAAGGAGGCCTGTAGCCACTGCAATCTGAGTCCTATATATCAGGAAAAGATAAATGGAACGATTCTTCCTATCGTCCCCAAATACGTCTAGAATAGGTTCTGAATTCACGGAATAGGAATATCGGGGAGTAACGCGACGTCTTCTTTATTTAATTTATTTGGATCAGTGCCCTTAAATTTTCTTAGCTTCTGCTCGATGCAGTTGCATTAATATTATCGCAGAAATCAAATTGCTAGCGATGTTGAATAAAGATCCGGAATTCATGGAGATATTAGCAGTAGCATTGATTTTCTCCAGAAATAAAAAAGCAGATTATCCCAGCGTATAGAAAAGTCATTTTTAATTCAGCGCGCTAAAGAAATAAGTCATTTTCAATAGCTACTTCTTCTATCATGATTTAATATCTTTCGTTCAAGCAACCAAGCAAAATTTTCTCCCACGAAGCATATTTCTTCAAATGCTACGTGCAGCTCGGAATCTATCGTTAATAATATCATTTATCATATAATCGTAGCTCTTTATATTCTGTATAATCAAAACGAATATCTATACGTATCATACAAACGTATCGAGAATCCCTAATATTATTCAAAATCGTTTTGGATATATAGGAATCTCAGATTTTTAATTTCTACGAAAAATATTGAATAATTCGACGGGGCAAATAAAACGTCCGGATTCGTCACGCCGCCTTATTTATATTCATGATTAATTCTGATAATAAATGATAGATATATAACGTCCGATTTTTCGTTTGAATTCTATTTATTATAAAGAGAAGGGGTGTTTAATTCGACGATTCAATATATTCAAATTAGATTCGGTCCCGTTAATTCCCATTCCTAATGGAAGAAGATACGACATTTTAATTGCTATCATTTTCGTGATAAGTATTTTTTCGAGAAAAAAAGAATTTGTATATTCTGTATCTAAATATATCTAAGTAAGCTAATTCAAAGATTATTTTTTTTTCAATATTCATCCCTTATTCTAGATTTTAATATGTAGAAATATTCATATTTATATATATATGCTAAAAAGATAATATTATTTTACATAAATGTTTTAATTCTATTTATCTTCATATTTTTCTCGCTTTTCTTTAATCTTCCAATCTTTGCTTCTGAATGTCAAGCCAATGCTTTAACCTTCCAGTTTTAGGTAGGCTTGCACTGCTATAGCACTTCAGCTCTCTTTTTACCGTGTTGGATCTGTAGGCGTAGCGGCTAACCGAGGGCTGACCGATGTAAACCGGCATGATAGATCAAATAGAAAAAACCCCAGCTGGTTTTTGTCAGAAGACGAGTGAAAAAGGCATGCATTCGTCGAGAATTGAATGAAAAAGGCGTGCATTCGTCCAGAATTAAGCGCATGTTGAGGTGGCAATAGACTGAAAACACACTCCAGATTGTCTACGGTTGAGGCAAAGTTTCATCCTGGTGGTCCAAAGGCAGCCGACTCGCTTAGGCTCCTTCTGGCAGCCCGAGATTTCGGGCCAGCTGCTCTCGGGCCCGGGGAACAGCTTGGACATAACCTTCAAAAGCATTAGAGTCGGCAGCTTTCTGTCCACGAGCCCTACCTGTGCCGAGTTGCAACCCTGAGCCGAAAGCAGTCGGCAACAGGAGTTGAGGGGTTGAGGACGCACATGCCGAAGGGAGAGTTGGAAACGTCTCATGGCCCGGCTACGTGGGTTGCAAAATTTTTCCTGCGACCTGTCGGCCGAAGGCAAGAGCAGGCGTCCAGGGAACTGAGAAAGCTGGCGTGAAGCAGGGAAAGGCTTAGAAGGCCTTGCTGAAAATCTGCGCGCAGAGGTGAGAGAGAGAAACTCGAAGAGCTGTGCAGGTAAAGTGCAGAGGGGCACTCAAGCCGTTAGTTTCCGAGGGACCTCTAGGGAACCTTCGGGGCCTCTGGGCCTCTCGCACACAGCACTCAGACAGAGCGGGCACGCTCCACGCTTTTCACTCTGCTGTTCTTCAGCAGTCCGAGTCTTGAGCCAAGCCCGGCACGGCTTGAGGCTTCAGTACACAGCTCTCTGGACTTCAAACACTTCACAGCTCGTGAGCACTAACAGCGAACTTGGGCTTCAGCTCTCTAAACACTAGAACTGGCTCCTGATGCCTCTTAGGCATCACGCTGTAGCTCTGGCGAAAGCAAACAGGCTTGAGACTCTTCACAAACACTCCAAGCGTCCGCAAAGCTCACTCTGAGGTTCGGGCGGTACGACCGAAAGGCGGACCGACCGACCGACCAACAGACCGACAAAAACAAGGTTTCGAAAACATGCGAAATGGTTTCGTTCCAAGCTTTCACCATGCCAAAACAAATCGTACTCACATGACATGCAAAACAAGACTGTGCAAGATTTTCCAAAGCAAGTGTAAATGGTTCAAATCAACAACTGGGAACCTTAGGAGGTCACACAAATCAACTCCCCCTCTTGACCGTAAGCTTCCTAGACCCGGTCCTGTCCTCCTTTCGAAGACCACGCCACAGACAAAGTCCTGTGCGTTCGTTCCTCAGTCTGTGCGTCCAGGAGCAGAGGCGGTCCTAAAAGACCCCGCGGCACAGCTCTTCAAGCGTACCTGCCGGCTTGTGAATTCATCCGAGTCGTAGCGTGGCCAAAGCAGTCTCTGCGAAGGCTCTCGGATAGTGTTGTGTAGCTTTAAGGTCAAACTCGGTCAAACGTTTGTGAATGATCGTGGCTACCATCACATGCAAAGTTTCGAGACATGTGTTGAATAAAATCCGCGTCGTTAGAAACAAGCTTCCATGTTTTCTTCACCAAAAGATTATCTTGACCTACCATGCCTGCCATGCACCCATGCACAAGCCCTTCGTGGTGGCTTCTGCTCCGCAGGAAGCTCTTCGTAGACTGCCAGCCCCAAAAGCTGCATCTCTGTGGCCACTCGATCACCCAGACACTCACTTGTGGGTGGGTGTTCAGTTTCAACCACGATTTCCAAAGCTTTCTGTGCACTGTGAACAGGGCCTGCAAGTGCTCTTGGTGTTGGGGGTTGTGGTGCAAGTGTTTTCTCTGCCAAGGGCTACCCCCGGTACAAGGCGTGCTGCGCCAAAGAACAACCTTCATTCCCCAGCTCCTGGCAACATCCATGGCTGACATGACCCGCTCCACGGTCTCAGGTGAAGTCCCATCTACTTCCACAGTCACCGGCAGAACAAAGACAGAGTAGTCACACACCGTGGTCACAAAGCTAGATTGCGGATCGGTACAAAACTCAATGAACAGGGTTCCGTACGAGGTTGGGAGCTCACAGAGGCCCAAGAACCTTTCCCACTCAAGTTCTGTGTTGTCAAAGATTGAATTCAACAGTCCTGTAAGGAACACACACGAGCGAACCACCGGCACAGCACAAAGGTCAACCTGGTGGACGTCTTCCAATCCTAAGGTCGTTGTGTGTTTCGAGGTCTGGGGCCTGTTGAGGTTCTTGGTGAGGAGATCACTGACGTTCTCTTCTCCGGCAACCCCGTTAATCACCAACTCGTTCTGATGCACCCTATCCTGAATAAAACAAAGTCTGATGTCTATATGTCTACATGTCGCATCCTCCGGCGAGCAGACGCGCTGTCGGTGTAGATGGCGAGGGGCTTGGCGATCTCGCCCCAAATGTGAGAAGCCAGCTGACCTAAACCGGCAATTTCCTTAGCGGCCTCGGCAATGGCAAAGAGTTCGGCTTCGGCAGAGGATAAGGCAACTACGGTTTGTAGCCTACTGTAGCCCTTTACGCAATACCACAGGGAACCGGCCACTACGTAGATAACCCCACCGCTAGTACTCTTTCTCCCGGTGCTCCTTTCACTGCCCCAGTTGCTGTCACAGAACGCCACCAAAGCGGCACCCTCTTCTTCCAAAGTTTCCCCGCTCCCGGCGGGAAAGACCTGATCAAGCAACGGACAACCGACCAACCACCGAAGAAATTTCCTTAGCGCATCCTCGTGCACCATCCTTGGTGCAGCTTGCCCTCTCGAAAGCATAGAATGGAAATATGTGATGTCAGTGCGCGTCTGGGTCAACCAACCAATCTTCCCAAGGCAGGACCTGAACCTACCCGCGGCTTCTGAAGACAAAGAGGGCGATGGGGATTCAGGGTCCTCAGCATCATATAGAGCCCTAATGTCGGGGGTTGTGGCCACAGGTTTGACCTTAGCCAGGTCCTTCTCGGTCCACCCAAAGGCAGAGAAGACTGAACGCACGTACTCAGGTTTCACCCCAAGGGTGATGTTGTTCCCATCTAGCTTGATAAGCCGTCCTAAAGACTCAAGCTGGCCATCTTCATGGAGCCTTCCAGTGACCTTTACCTTTAAAACCGCACTCAGGGACTTGTGGATAAACTCAACCCCCTCTTGGCTGTCGGAGACAATCAATAGATCATCCACATAAGCTAGGGCGATGAAAAACGTCCACTTCTTTCCCAGCTGAACCCATCCACTAAAGAGCGTGGGCTCGAGCGGCGAGGCTTTAAGGCCCAGGCCGACCATAATGCCATAATCTTACCGAGGTGCCTTTGCCAACTCAGGCTCGCGCTGCGCAAGCCATACAAGGCCTTCTCTAGGACCAGGATCAAGTACGCGGTGCCTCCGCCCTCTAGGCAGAAAGAGCTCGGGAGCTCCACCACAGTGGGTTGAACAACGTTCGCAAACAGGAACGCAGTAGAAATGTCCAAACCCCAAACCCGCATACGACCCTTCGCGGCTCTCGAAAGTATGAGCTTGAGTGCCTCCACACTCGCGGTGTTCGAAGAGAGGCCAAGATCAAGGGCAGAGGGTCTGCCATGCGCGAAGTCTTTCGCCACGAGGCGTGCCCTGACAAGCCCTGGGGCTTTCTGCGTCAGCACCCACCGTGACTTTATCACGCGGCACCCTGGGTTCTCTTCCTGGTAGCGATCAACCTCAGACCTCAGACCTGGAACGAAGGAGGCCGACTTGCAAAGAGTCGACGGCCTTGACCTCAGTCTTCATTCCTTCCCAGCTCTCTTTGTTGTCTAGCTGGATTCCATCGACGTCGTCGTAGGAACTCCGAGGCCTGGAGACCCAAACCCAGCGATCCCCAATGGGCATATATGTGCCCTCTTTCTCTTGATCTTGATCATTGCAAGTAGGTAGGTCCGACCGACCAACCGACATGTTCACGCCCGACCGACCAGCCGACATGCTGTCGCCGCTCGACCGACCAACTGGCACGCTCAAGCCCGACCGACCAACGTCATGCTCCACACGCAAGCAACGCAATGCAAGAGTACGGCAACTTATCGCAAGAGGAGCGGCCGTCGACAAGCAACGAGCAAAACGCTTGCAAATCATACACATCACACGCGGTCAAGGGAGTGGGAACGTAGCGGACGCAGCCGCAGGCCCACATTTCCTCCAATAACCGAATCGCGGGGCGATCATCCTTCGGTGCCTCGGCGACACCCATCAGATCATCTTCTCCCTCGTCCTCGGAGGGCAACGAGGGCTCGTAGTCACTAAGATGGTCGTTGGCCTCCGCACCGATCTGTGGTACTTCTACTTCTTGCTCTGAGGGCGCCGAGGGCGCCGGAAACTCACCTTCTGAATCACCGAATCGAACCCGCTTGGCCGGTGGGCCTTGAGCGGGCGGAGGGTCCCGACCAAGCTCTTCAAGAGCGTTGTCCACAGCATCTCGGAGCGACCAGCGCCGGACGCACTTTATTGAATGGCGAGAGGATGTGGCCTCTTCGTGGCACCGTGCTCGCGGATCCATTCTTTGGAGGGTCCCCCTCCCGGCACATAGGGAAGGTGGAGCTCGCGAAAGCGCTCCTCATCCAAAGATGGCTGGCACCGTCAAGCAACGAAGCATCCTATCGAAGAGGGACGTGACCCTGAGAGACATGTGACAGGCGCTTGCGCAGCTCACGGCGTGTCTCCGGATCTTGTGACATGATCAGCTCTCCCTGCCCTGCTGCTAAACCCAAACCGGCCGGACCCTCTGGTTGCATATCGGGCTCCTTGTTGTGATTCTTCTGGTTGAGGGGGTCCTCTTCCTGCAACGGGGCAACAACAGCAGCGGAACTGAAAACTGAACATGGCTGACCGCAGAACTCACACGAAGCGTGCACTCCAGAATGTTTCCATGCATGCTGGTGCGTTGGCAAAGCAAAAAGGCCAATATTCATGGCGTCGGGCTTCGAAAGCTGTGAGACGATTACGGAGTCGGGCTGCGAGAAGGTCTCCTTGGCGGAAGTGGCGGCGGGTTGATAACCCACGTTCCCGCTGGAGGTGCCGGTGGTGGCACTCCCGGTGGCGGTGCCAGTGGTGGCCCCAGAGCGCTCCCCGTTGGGCTTGAAGTAGGCCGGCTCGCGGTAGGAGCAGGAGGTGGGATCGGCAATGCGGTGCGCGGACGCACTCGCCGAGATTCTGTGGCCATCTCCGCTGCAACCCTCCAGGAGTCTGCTTCTGCCTCCGTACAGATGCCGAGCCTCATCCTCGTGTATAAGCTCTCGCCGCTGGGCGAACTCAGCACTGCACCCGGAGTTGGGTAGCTGCGTGGCACCCACGAATATGTTGGTGGAGCCGAAACCGGTGGTGGCGGAGGCGACACGTTGGGTGGCGATGGCGCTTCTTGCTCCATCCCTGTGTCCTCGGCCATCTCGGTGTCCTCCTCCGCAGGTGCCTCCAATGGCGCCGTCTTGGGCAGCGTCTTGGGCATCATAGACCCGAGCCCCTTCGGATCCACCGCCTTGGGTGGGGTCTGTGGTTGTTGATCCCCGCGGCCAGCCTGTGCTGGCTTCGCCTTCCAGGCACCCCAGTCCTCCGAATCCGTAGTAGGCGAATTTGGAGGTGTCCACCCTGGTGGTGTCTTGACAGGCGACCCGAAAACCGCCTGAGCTGCCACTTCCTCGCTCAGTGACTGTAGTGCCCTGTAGTGGCCGCGCTTTCTCCAGCTGTTGGGTCGACCGCAGCTGGACCCCCAGAGTGTCCGGCCAAGGCCGCCCCCTGGCTTTCACACGCCGCGGCTCCGGCTGTGATGGAAGCACACGCCGCTCCACTGCTCGTGGAGGCTCTCGTGGTTCCGCCCAGATTCCCGGAAGTGCATTGCTGGATTTCGCTGTCGCTGTGGCTTCCGAGTCGACCTCTGGCGGCAAAGTTGAGGCATCCGCCTTCGCCGGTTGGTTGCTGAACCAAGCTAGTTGGAGAACTAGCTCCCTCGCCTTCTTGATCTCGGGCTCGGCCAAGTCCGGCATACGTAGTTGGATCATCATATCGATCCTTTCGGGATCGGAAAGCCTGTCAGGTAGAAGCCTCAAACCAGGGCGGTTCCTGGCGATCCACGACTTCATGTGATGATTGTGGCTGTCCGACATCAAATGAGCCTCCGTCGCATGTTTCCCGCAAACCATGCAGTACTCGCAATAGTTGCGGTTGTTGTGGCTCAAGGCTTGACCACTTCCCCTCTGGGGCAATGTAGGGAGGGGTCCAACTGAAGCTGTTGACCCGGTCCGCGAGGCTCACCCCCGTCGCCTTTGGGGCAGGTGGCCCCTCTACCTCCTCGTCGGAGGATATTTCCATTGCCTCCGCCCGGCCTGTCCAGCCCTTTTTCGCACTGGCCTTCATCAGCTAAACCCTTAAGGCTCAAGCTTGTGCCTTGGCGATCTGCGGAAACCCTCTGTTCACCTACATTGTCGCTCGAACTGCACACACCGTCATGCACAACCGACCGACCAACCAACCGACCATGCATGCCAAGCAAACACTCTTCAGACTTACTGCACGCAGGTTGCACTACAGAAACTGGCTGCACCGAAGAGTCACTAAAACCTGGCTGCACCCACTGGCCTCGATCGGAAGACGTGGCCCCCGAGCACAAAGGTGAAGAAGATGGATCCACGGCACTCGATTGCAAAAGCTCTACCACTCTAGCAGGCAACTGACCTACCAACTGACTCCAGGGCTGCCGCAGGACGATTGACCTACCAACTGCACTCCTGGGCTGTCGCAAGGCGACTGACCTACCAACTGCATTCCAGAGCTGTCGCAAGACGACTGACCAACCAACTGCCCAACAGAGTCCTCGCAAGCATGTGGCAAAACACTCGGTTCAACATGCGTTGTTTCATGCTGTTGTCGTGAAAAATCATGCCCATGCTGTGAAAAATCATGCTCATCATGCGAAAACTCATGTTCATGCTGTTTCTCAGGCGAGGAAAACTCAAAAGACCGACCACTCGACAGACCGGAAGACGACGAGACACTCGCAAGCGTGAGCTTCGCGGGAGAATCAGCCATCACACTCTGAAGCCATGTGCAGTCGCCGAACACTGCTGGAAGCAGCGTCACCTCCTTACGTTCCGCTGTTAAGAGACCCCGGTAAAGGGTAGGCTTCCAGCCTCTCCAACAGAGGAGGTTGAGGTTTATCAGGTTGTGTTTGATTTCGCTGCTAACTACCGCTTCTAGACGGCAGGTGCACGCAAAGGTGCTCAGAACTCCTCCTCGCTGCTCAAAGTGTCGAGTGGCGAGAAAATTCACCTCGATCGTCGCGTGGGTGTCGCTTCCCACTTCCACCAGGTCGCCAGTGGCAGTCTGGCACACAGTCTTCGGTCGCTTCTTCCTCGACAAAACCTTGACGTGTCCACTCTCAAGCGTCGCCTGGGAAACCACATGGTACGAGCTCCCAGAGTCGAGACGAGAAGCCAATAGATCTTCTCTCCCGACTCAACGAAGGAAGGTGCGACCATGGGCATCGCAAAGTACGCTCCCTCAAGGAACGTTCTGACGCCCTTCTCTGTTCCCTTCCCAACATCGCCCTTCGTAGTGGGCTGGTTGCTCGGCGCCTTTGGCGCAGCCTTGGCAGCTGCAGCGCTCCCCGAACTCTCAGCAGCGCCTGTCGTCACAGTGGCGTTGGCCTCGTGGGGGGAAACCGCAGCGGCTTGCTTCAGCCAACAGTCGCGGGCCCAATGCCCCTTCTTCCCGCAGTTGTGGCAAACGTCGGTCTTCTTGGCCTTGCTCTTGGCACGTGCAGCTGAACCCTTTCCGGGCTTCTCCTTCTCCTTGTTGCCCTTGTCTGCTCGCTCTCCTTTGCCCTTTCCTTTGTCTTTGCCTTTCCCCTTGTCTCCTTTGCCCTTCTTGCCTTTGTCGCCTTTCCCTTTGTCACCCTTGTCGCCTTTTCCAGCACCGAATGCGCTCAGGTAGCCGTGGTGGTGCTCCTTCTGGAAGTTTAGCACTCGAAGCTGCTCGTCGTAAAACTGCAGCCCTTGCAACATTGCATCCAGACCGCTGGTGGTCTGGTGCAACAAAAGGTACCTCTTCGCGTCCTCGTCCAGGTGCTTCAAGACTCCCAGAACAGCTTCTTGCTCGTGCACCTTAAGCTCAGGGTACTTCTTGGCAACCTGAGACTCAAACTTCATGAGCTCAGTCATGTACCACCTCATCACATCAAGTGGTCGCTTGAGGTGCTTGGGAGGATGAAGATTGATCATCTGCTCCCTTAGCGCTTGGCCTTCCACCCTCGAACGGACCGAGAGCTCTCGGTTGAGCAGGCGCCAGAACTCGTATCCAGCACTTGCTCCTTTCTGAGCAACCTCGATCAGGTGGATGAGGTCCTGGGCTCTTTGAAACTTGCTCAAACTCTGGCGTAGCAGGAACCAAAGCTTGCTGGACCGCGCTGCCTTCCCGACGTCCAACGTACTCTGCTGAACTTGTAAGGCGCTCTGCTCTGACTCGTCCAGCTCTTCTGCGAACCGGTCGTCCCTTCTAGAGCGGATTCCCGTGTCCCATTGGCGCGGGACCAGAGGTGTCACCCGAAGAGCTTGCAGGTGCGGTCGCAGCTGCACTGGCACTTGTCTGGCTGGCGTTCTGGACACCAAGCACTGCCAGGTCCTTCACCAGGTTAGTGAGCTGTTGCACTTGGGCCGCTTGGGCCCTGATCTGCTCGTCCTGGGCCTGCATCATCTGCCGAAACAGATTCACAGTGTTGTCGTCAAGGCTTCCAGGGTTCACTGGCAACTGTTGAGGCACAGTTGGCGCAGGAGGCTGTTGTGGTGGCGTTCCCAAACTGAAGTACTGCGTCTGCTGCGCAGCCTGTGCTGTCGGAGTCTGGCCCGCAGAGGCTAAAGGCCTCAGGTCTACTCCGGGACGGTGTGCAGAAGGGGAGTTGGCTACCGGTACACTTCTCGCACGCACTCGTGGCGCTGAGGCAGACCTTGCAGAGAGGCGAGAACTCAAACGACTAGCTCTCCCACTCGAGTCACGGCTCCTCCCTCTCGGAGAGCGGTCTCTCCCTGCTGCACCACCTGGGCCATGGCTTGCCATGGCTCTGGAGCACGAAGCTCCGCTACCACGTTAGTTTCCGAGGGACCTCTAGGGCCTAGGGAACCTTCGGGGCCTCTGGGCCTCTCGCACACAGCACTCAGACAGAGCGGGCACGCTCCACGCTTTTCACTCTGCTGTTCTTCAGCAGTCCGAGTCTTGAGCCAAGCCCGGCACGGCTTGAGGCTTCAGTACACAGCTCTCTGGACTTCAAACACTTCACAGCTCGTGAGCACTAACAGCGAACTTGGGCTTCAGCTCTCTAAACACTAGAACTGGCTCCTGATGCCTCTTAGGCATCACGCTGTAGCTCTGGCGAAAGCAAACAGGCTTGAGACTCTTCACAAACACTCCAAGCGTCCGCAAAGCTCACTCTGAGGTTCGGGCGGTACGACCGACAGGCGGACCGACCGACCGACCAACAGACCGACAAAAACAAGGTTTCGAAAACATGCGAAA